TGAATGTGAGACCATGAATAAAGTGAATAGTGGTAGAAGAACAGAATTGTGAAGGGAATTAGGAAGCTACTTCTTGCCGTAAGAAGGCAAGTCCGAGCCGGAGARGAAGGGCATCTCTAGGGGGACAGGAAGAGAAGGATTATGTGGTGTACAAAGCAAGGTTTGCGAGAATATTAGGAGTATGTTTAGTGGGAGTGGGCCTGAATTCTGAAGGAACGAGCAAGAGGTGGGCACCAATGCCCGTGGGGGGGCAGCTGCACACGCAGGCCCGGGGAGGGCCCACAAAATCTCTGTCCCTTTAATGTCCAGGTAAAAAGCAGCTGGGGACCCAAAAGGACCCACAGACACCAGATARAAACATTAAGGAAAGCCCTACACAAACAAACTCTTTCCCCATGTAAAACCCCAAGAGCCAAAAAAAGCTCTTTGGTATCTAGATGTAAAATATGGACCCCAAAAGACTAGAGTACTGAGCCAAAAAGAAACAAAACACAAAGCTCCCCTCAGCTCACAAATTCAGCTTAGGCCCTTCAGTGGTCTCGCTTGAACAATCTTCCTTTTTTCCTAACACAGCAACAAATCTTTCAGGAGAGCAGAGCTGCCTCAACAGCTGCTATTACTGCAACCCAGAGCTGCTACACCCTCAGAAAGCCAGAACTAAATGAGCCCCTGAGCTCCTGGGCCTAGGTTTATGTAGGCCCTGAGCCCAACTGCTGCCCTTGCGAGGGCTGGGCCCACCCCTGCCGTGATCAATACAAACACCTGGGCAAAATTAAGCAGAAAACAGAAACAGGTGGAGAAACAGTCATTAGAGTGAGGAGCAATAAAGAGTTATTAGGCAAGAAAGAGAGAGATTGGATGAATGAGAAATGGAACTATAGGGGAAGAATTCTAGGGGGAAGGGCATGAGAATTAGTGGGGAGTAAAAAACGAAATACTGGAATATGAGAAAAAAAGATCCAATAATGTACAAGAAAAATAAATATTACCATAAAGGGAAATAAAGGCTTCATCTGCGCTCTCATGGCCCCCATACACACAGTGCTGGGGGCCCCAATGTGTCATCGTCTCAGTGTCCACAACGACATGGGGGTGCTGGGGGCCTCTCTGCAGCCATGAGGGTCTACGTATACACGAGACCCGAGGGCTCCTACAAGTCCATAAGGGACTCATGGAGTCGGGAGGTCACGGGGAGCCCTCCCCGGGGGGACCAGCTGCGCACAGAGACCTAGGGAAGGCACACCAAAGCCCAGAGGGCCCGTGGGGCCAGTTGCGCACACAGGCCCGGGGAGGGCGCACGTAAGCCCGGAGGGCGTGGGGGGCCAGCTGGGCACGGAGGTCCGGGGAGGGCGCACGTAAGCCCGGAAGGCGTGGGGGGCCAGCTGGGCACGGAGGTCCGGGGAGGGCGCACCTAAGATAGGAGGGCGCGGGGGGCAAGCTGCGCACGGAGGCTGGGAAGGGCGCATGTAAGCCCGGAGTGCACGGGGGGCCTGCTGCACGCGGAGGCCCGGGGAGGGCTCCCGTAAGCCCAGAGTGCACAGGGGGCCTGCTGCACGCGGAGGCCCGGGGAGGGCGCATGTAGGCCCAGAGGGCATGGGGGACCTGCTGCACACGGAGGCCCGGGGAGGGCGCACGTAAGCCTGGAGGGCACGGGGGCCAGTTGCGCACGGAGGCCCGGGAAGGGCACATGTAAGCCCGGAGGGCGCGGGGGGGCCAGCTGCGCACAGAAGTCCGGGCAGGGCGCACATAAGCTCGGAGGTCGCGGGGGGCCTGCTGCGCACGGAGGCCCGGGGAGGGCGCACCTAACGTACGAGGGCGCGGAGGGGAGCCGCCCATGGAGGCCCGGGGAGGGCGCCCGTAAGCCCGTAGGGCCCGGGGGGCCAGCTGCGCATGGAGGCCCGGGGAGGGCGCACGAATACCCGGAGGGCGCGGGAGGTCAGATGTTCCTGGAGTCCCGGGGAGGGCGCATGAATGCCTGGAGGGCGCGGGGGTCCAGCTGTGCACGGAGCCCTGGGGAGGGCGCACAGAGGCTCCGAGGGCAGGAGGGGCCAGATGCGCACGGAGGCCCGGGGAGGGCACACAAATGCCTAGAGGAACCGGGGGCCAGCTACGCATGGAGGCCTGRGGAGGGCACACGAATGCCTGGAGGACTCGGGGGCCAGGCGYGCACRGAGGCCCAGGGAGGGCGCACCAAATTCTGGAGGCTGCGTGGCAGGCCAGATGCATCCGGAGGCCCAGGGAGGGCACACCATAGCCCGGAGGGTGCGGGGGGCCACCTGCACATGGAGGCCTGGGGTGGGCGCACCAAAGGCCGGAGGGTGCGGCCGGCCGGCTGCGCACGGAGGCCCGGGGAGGGCGCACATAAGGCCGGAGGTTGCAGGGGGCCAGCTGCAAACGGAGGCCCTTGGAGGACACACGTATGGCTGAAGGTTGCAAGGAGTCAGATGCGCACGGATGCCTGGGGAGGGCGCACCAAAGCTTGGAGAGCGCGGGGGGCCTCCATGTGCAGCTCGCACCCCAGGCCCTCCAGGCTTTCATGCGGCCTCCCCGGACCTCCACGAGGTCTCCATCACCAATTCGCATTGACCTCTTGGAGGCTGCGATTGGGCAGCTGGGGGGGCAACAAGGGCTCTGGGAGCCTTTGGCCTTTAGGTACAATGGGTGGGTGAGGGAGTGTCGATGATGGGGGGGATAAGCCCATAGAGACCATCCCRCCCCCCCAATCCTGATGGGACCACCCCAGAGCACCCCCAATCCCATGGGAACCCCTTAAATTCCTCCCTAGGTGGCTGCTGCCTCCAATATGGCTGCCGCCGCCAAGGTGGCCTCTTTCCAAGATGGCCACCGCCACCAAGATGAGGGCTGTGGCCAAGATGGCCACCCCCATCGATTATGAGCGCTGTCTCCAAGACAGCTGCAACATAGTGGCTGCCGCCAAGGTGAACGCTGCGGCCTAGATGAGCGCCGTGGCCAAGATGGCTGCCGCCAAGTGGGCACAGCCACGATGAGCGCCATGGCCGACACGGCCGTCAGCCCCAAGATGGCCGCCACCACCGAAATGAGCTGTCTCCCAGAGGTCCTCTGGATCCAAGATGGCCACTGCCACCCAGCACTGGCTCCAAGATGGCTGCCATCCCCAAGACAACCTTTGTCAAGATGGCCAGGCCGCCACAGCCAAGATGGCCGCTGTCACCAAGATGGCCGCCAGCTCCACCACAATCACTGCGGGCGCCATCACGGATGCCACAACTGTCATGGCTGCCCCCCCATCCCCCAATCCGGACGTTCCCGGCCCCGGAGTCCCCAGATCCGGATGTCTCCGGCTCCAGCGTCCCCCAGTCCGGACGTTCCCGGCCCCGGAGTCCCCAGATCCGGATGTTTCCGGCTCCAGCGTCCCCCAGTCCAGACGTTCGCAGCCCCGGAGTCCCCCCCTGCGGGACACTCGCCACAGCTGCCACTTCCGGGGCCCTCCTGCCCCAAAGGCAGCTCCTGCTCGCCGCCATCTTGGACATCAAGTTCCGGTGTCGGCCATTTTGTACACCAAGTTCCGGTGTCGGCCATCTTGAGCTCCTCCTGCTTCCAGTGTGCGCCATCTTGGACATCAGGTTCCGGTGCCGGCCATCTTGAGCTCCTCCTGCTCCTGGGCGGCTTGTGCAGCACCGCGGTGGCCGGCGCGGCGGCAGCCCCAGCCCGATGGCCGCGTCGGCCCCACATCGTGCAGGCGCCGTGGGCGGCTCCGGTGACCGTCACCATCCTCCACTGCCCAAGCCCCCCGGCTCCCCATCCCGTTGAGGAGCACCCCGAGTTTCTGCCTCCTGCAGTCCCGGTGCCGCCGGGCCGGTGGGGCCGAGCTCGGACCTCGGGAGCCTCCTCAAACGCCGTGTCCCTTGGGGCACAGATTTGGGACCGTTTCCAACATACTCGGAATTCCGAATGCTGCCGGAAAGCTCGTTTCGCGCTGAGTTACCTGAGACCGGTCTCCACACGGAGGCCCGGGGCACAGTGAGGCCCGGGGAGGCCACGTGAAAACTCGCAGGGTCCCTGGGCCCCCCGTGCCCTTCGGAGCCCTCTGGGCCTCCGCGCGGCCGCCCCGGCCTCCCTTTCTGTGGAGAGGCCGGTGCCGCGCGAGGGCGGGAGGGAGACGCCTGTCCCACCCGGCGCCGCCATTGGCTGCTGCCTGCAGGGGGCTGCCCGCGGCGCATGCCGATTGGCTGAAGGGAGCCGCAGTGGGAGGGGCGGAAGAGCGACCGCGGGCAAAGGGAGGAGGCGCCTCTGGGTTGGGGCCCAGGCGTCCGGGCAGCGACTCAACCATCCCCTCCGAGTGTCAAAGACGAGCGCGGAAAACGCACAGAAAATCCACAAAGGGCTGTATTTTTGTGTAAAAGAGACAAAACCAAGCAGCTGGGAAGGGGCCCTGGCATCCGGGAGGAGCCTGGAGTCCGAGAGGGCCCTGGCGTCTGGGAGAGGGCCCGAGYGTCCAGAGGGTCCTGCTGTCCGGGAGGGGGCCCAGGCGTCCGGCGCCGCTAGGCCTCCCCGAGCAGGCGCCGCTTGGGCGCCGTGGCCGTGTACGGGTGCCAGCGCCACTCGACGTCGGCCGCGGCGCCCTGCTCCAGCGTGCCCAGGCGGATGAGGTAGGCTGGGGAACGGCGACAGCGGGGGCGTTGGCGACAGCGGGGGCGTTGGGGACGCCGGGGACGGCGTCACTGCGCCGCGGCACTCACGGCGCATCTCGAAGCGGGGTCCCAGCTCCGTGAGCTCCACGTTGCGGCCGCGGCGCCGAAATGTGTGGTTCCTGCGGCGGCACCGCTGTCACCGCGCGCCCAACCCTGTCACCGCTGTCACCGCGCGCCCGGCCACACCGTCCCCGCTGTCACCGCATGTCCAACCCTGTCACCGCGCGCCTGGCCACACTGTCACCGCTGTCACCGYGCGCCCAACCCTGTCACCGCTGTCACCGTGCGCCCATTCACAACGTCCCCGCTGTCACCACGCGCCCGGCCACCTCCTCACCGGAAGGAGATGACGTCGTCGGTGTTGGCGAAGGTGACGACACGGTGGCTGTCGGGACGCGGCACCGGGAAGAGGTGCTTGAGGATGGAGCCCACCTGGGGACGAGGGCGGCGCTGACGGGGTCCCCAACACCAACGTGGCCCCGCGCCCCGTGTCCCCAACGTCCTCTCGTGTCCCTCCACGTCCCGCCACGTTCCAATTCCTGCCCTGTGTCCCCCCATCTCCCTCCTCGTCCCTTGGTCCCCCCCATTGTCCCCCTGTCCCCCCGGGCTCCTGCTCCCCCACAATGTCCCCACGGCCTCCTCCATCGCCCTGTCCCTCAGTCTTTCCCTGTT